ATCTATTTGCGCAAGTGAAAATGATGTGGCGTGGAACGAGTGTAATCCACCATCAGACCCGAAGAAAGTCTACTTACAAAAATATTGGAATCGGGTATAAAAGAATAGAATCATACATATCCTATCAATTTGTGAGTGTTTAAAATCTTACTTGACATAATCTACTTGATGATTGAAATTTCCTTTTAGTGTATTATTTTGGCCTCTTTAATAGTAAAAAAGATTAAAAAAAAAAATTTGGTCTCTTCAAAAACATAAAGAAAATAGATAAAAATTTATGAATTTATTTCAAAAATATTAATCAAAATATCTTTAAAAAGCTAAAAGTATTTTGAAATATTTGCAAAAATATGATGAAACATTTGAAAATAATACTGATAGGACTTTTCTGAAATACTTTATGATGAAGACACGTGTCCTCGGTATTACTAAAACACTGTTGCTAAGATCAAGCACCACCGGCTCACAAGGCCCTCTCCTTCGAGGTACTCGGCATATAGGATCATGCATTCAGTATGTTTTACACCGACACGTGGCCTCAGTCTGGTATGGTACCTCGGTCGGTGTCCCTACCGAGATGATCCTTCCCTCGGTGCCGAGGTGTACCGTCCAGGACGCCTCCTCTACTCTATGATAAGCTATTGACGTACAGGTCATTAGCCTAGGCTATTCATCATAACCTCGTCTTACACAAGTAATGTCAGAACGTATTGGAATACAAAGGTCACAACCAATAGGGGATGGACGCGTGGCATGTGATATCACATCGAAGACAGACAAACCGCATGCCGTTGCTGACACGCGACTTGAGAAAGCAAACAATTAATTGCACCATTCCCTTGANATTGGAATACAGAGGTCACAACCAATAGGGGATGGACGCGTGGCATGTGATATCACATCGAAGACAGACAAACCGCATGCCGTTGCTGACACGCGACTTGAGAAAGCAAACAATTAATTGCACCATTCCCTTGATGAGACCGCATTCAATGCGGTAAGGTTCGGAAATGAAAGACAATAAATGCTCTTACTACAGAGCATTTATTGCATCCTCCCCGAGAGGAGCACATTGTACCGTCGGCATCCCGATGACCCAGCATTGATTGCTCGGGACCCCGAGCAGTTAATTAGAGAAGACATTCCTCATCAGAATCAATGCGCACGCTACCTGTACCTAATGATCATTTACTGATCACACTGACAGCAATCATGAGCTTTTGAGGTATAAATACTCCTTGCAAAAGGCAAGACGGGTATGCGACAACAAACTCTTTACTACAATACACACAACACACTCAGTGTTTTCTCATTCCTCTCTCTCTCTCTCTCAAAGACTGACTAGATCGTCGGAGGGGATACGCCGGAAAACACTCCGGCGGCCTTCTAACTTGTTCTTCTTTGTTCCAGGATCCTCTTTCAGCCTCACGAGATCGTTCTTCCGCTCCCCCAGGGTCTCCCGTTGCCGTTCTAGGTTACCACCGGACNATAGTCTCACTTAAATCAAACGAGTATTGTATGCTCTTATTGCATCGCACCCACTCTCTTATAGTCCCCTGATGATCACAAACAGATTGATTGATGAAATGAATTGAATGTGAACGTAAATGCTCGTTAGATTACNTCCCACGCAGCGTGGTTGGTCACTCAACTGGCTCACTCGAAGTTCACCAAGGGAAAGATCTGTTCTCGTTTTTTATATTGTGCAGGATCTTGCACGCACAATCTGGCGCCGTCTGTGGGAAACGACTAGTTTTCCTAGTTTTTTCTCTATAAAGAACAGTGACCATGGTGAACACTCGACAGAAAGGGAAAGGCCCCCACCAAAGGAGTCTCGAGTTACAAGCTCNCTTATTAGAAACAGAAATATTTTACTTTTTTGACTATTTCAAAACATTTTTGTCTCAAAGTCCACAAGGAAGAAAATCCCTTCCTCCTTTTCTCTTATCCCACTCCTCTGTACGACGTCTTGTTTTGGTTTATTTGGTTAGAGGATATGTATTTGAACCATTTTAAAAAACATAGTGAAAAAAAAATGAAAGATTGGTCAAAACATCTTGAAACACTCAAAACCGTGAATTTCAATATTCAATTTCACTTATTCATTTCAATTTCTACTAAAGCTAATATATTTCCGTCATTTTAGTGAGAATAAAACAAAATTTTGATATTTACAAAGCACGAGTGACAATACAAAACAATCGCTAGCAATATTTATTGGTTGCAACACAAATGACATTATTACTCCAACATTGGCCAAAACCTTAGAAACATAAAAACTTTAATATTTAATGTCACTATTTCGTTTCAATTTTCATTGAAACCGAGATATTTGTAATTTCAGTGGGAATAATACATAATTTTGATCCTAGCAAGCATCAAGAAAAAAGGAAACAATCGCTAGCAATGCTTACTAACAAATGCTACAATTACTTGGTAAGAAAGCTACAAAGATTTCATAAGAAACAGTTATTGAATTGATTTGGAGATGCCACCGGCAATTAGAGAGGAGAAAAAGCAAACCACCGATCAACCATGGCTAGATATTCTTTAGGTTTATGTTCTGGACCTGTATGACCCGCTCCCTATACAAAGTATGAGGACATAATTAAATTCAATTTTGCACTTGGTGGATCCATAACTTGAGAAAAAAATTAAGCACAAGATTTCATGCCTTTGCTGTTGCATATGTCAGCGAGTAGTCGTTGTGTATATAGGATTCTGTATATCTGTATAAAATAATAATGCCACAGCACATCAACATTATAATCAATTGTAAGCTCAAATTTACGTTGCAAAATATGTTTAGTAGTTTAGGAACCCACCCTGCTACTTGACCTTCAACAAACCACGGCTCCCAATCACTTTCGACGGTCAGATTTAAAGAACGTATCCATTTCTCTGTACCCAGATGTGGAACCACCATGTCATGATCGCCGCTTTTGGAAGATAAAAACTTGAGTTAGAATAATAAGATTTTTCTTTTTCTTTTTTGAGGGGGTGGGTGGACATTATTAGGGTGTATGACCATAGTTTTTGGTTCGTTCAAACCATAGGAATGCAATACTACGAATGAAATTCTATTAGTATGACTAAGATTTCTAGTATTCAATTGCAAGTTCCATTTAGTTTATGTTTTCGGAAAGGATTGTACTATTGGCTCCTAATAGATGAACTTTGTAGTGGATGACAACAGAAACATGAATAAAGACGGTTCTGGGATAGAATTACCTGGCAATTAAAGCTCGACACTTTTTGTTTGTTAGATTTCGATGATAGTCAACAGAACTAGGGACATTGAATGTGTAAGACACAGTCTCACTTAAACCAAACGAGTATTGTATGCTCTTATTGCATCGCACCCACTCTCTTATAGTCCCCTGATGATCACAAACAGATTGATTGATGAAATGAATTGAATGTGAACGTAAATGCTCGTTAGATTACATACACGTACCTCACGAATGTGAAGAGCATTTTGTACAGCTTTATCATTAGCCCAAACAGCAGCTGCTTTATAAGTATTGTCCTATAGAAAAAAAAAACACAGATAAGAAAGTTAATGTAATAGTTTTGTAATTTTGAATATGACAAACCAATTACTATATTGGTGAGAGGGGGGTCGAGGGGATTACTCGACACCATGGTTCTGAAAGTCGAGGTAGCGACCAGATGATATCGATGGGATTCTCCTCAAGAGAGCTTCTGTAACTTCTCAGCAAATTAGGTTTTGAAATTGTAGTAAGACAAATAGGTTCTAAAATTTGATCAAAATAGATTTTCTCGACGCACTGCAATCAAATGGTAGATCGTTTTAACACCTAAAAATATTAAATATGGAAACACATGTTATGAAAATTAAGTTGATTAGGAACTATTCCTGCTGATCACCTCGTTTACGACTTCAAGATCACTTGCACATAATCTGTTGTCGGGGTCTACTGCTATGTACACACCCTGGCAATTTGATTTGGCTGACTGAAATCCACAAAACATAATGTATATAAATCGAATGCTCATGGAATAACACTTTTGGCTTATATCGGGTACGTGTTGTGTATCAATTGTATATAAACGAATTGTATTGTATATTTTTTTTGATTGACTTCACCCATACCCAATTTGGTAAATCTTATAATTTCGTGTTGTATTCATATCTTGTTATATTTTGACACCGCTAATTATAGGGTGTTTGGAGGTCAAGAAAATTCAAAACTTGCTATTAGATATGGAATTCTTACCTCATAGAGTTCGTCTGATAGAAGTGCCACACGATGAGCATATGGGATTCTCGAATTAATGTCACTATTTCTATTTGTTAGAGGGTTGAAAAGAATGTATCCCTGAATCCAATTCAGAGACAGTTAAATTCAATGCTAGTGCAGAATACACAATAAAAAAAGATGGTGAATAAGCATGGAAAAAAAATTAACACAGCCCAGTCAAGATGTTTAATATAATCTTTTACTTTAATTTTCATTCTTGGCTCCTTTCCAGCTTCATTACCTACACATACAAAACAAAAACAAAAAAAGTAGGAAAAAGAATGAAAACAACTAAATGAGCCAAACCTTGCTTAAGGAAAAACTTGGTCAAACAACTTGTTTGTTCTCAGTTTTCAAAAAACAAAAAGCAAAAACAGCTGGTCAAACAGCTTGTCTCCCACAAACTGTTTCCGAAAATAGAAAAACTGTTTCTAATATGCAAATTAAACACGACCTTTATTTTATTGAAGGAAGTTCAGAGAGAGATGAATAAAAAGGAAAAATAGAACATAGCTTGAAGATAAAAGGAATCTCCAAGACCATACCATTGTATATCTCCTGAACAACGATTGGAACAACAATGCCAATATAGGAGATACCACAGATGTATAGTGGATTGTTCAGAAAATTGGGGTGATCCACAAGCCACTATATCATATGCCAAAATGAAGAAACAATTATTCACCGTAAGTATTATCGAAATAAATATAATGGCTTTAGTATTCCAAGAGTTGCTGTCACCTTTCTAAGAAAATCATATGTTAGTGATGCTGATCTCGTATCGCTGCTGTTGTAAGCTTCCCATTTTTTCGCATAAGAGAATCCACTACCAGCAGGTTGATCTATAAAAATTATGTTGGCTACCTACAATGTCGTAATCACTTTTCATAACTTGACAAATTCATATTCTACTATAACCAATCAGCAGTGTACAAGAAACTTCGATTCCGATCAAGTTTTGGGCAGGTGGGAAAAAAAAGAAGGCGCTTTGTTATTGATCACCAACTATTTTTGGTTTCGAATTTGAGGTGCGGTAAATGGTCTCGCTTATACCTTTGTCCAAGAGTATGGGTTCAACTCCAATGTTGGTTTGCTTTCGCCGGAATTTGAAGGGTTCAATGTAAAATTGAATTTAAGAGGTCCTACAATGAAAAGAAAAAACATCAATCATCCTAAAAATTTAAAATTTAGGGCTTGTACCAATTTTATCCTTAAACATTGATTTTATTTTTGACTCAAAAAATGTGACATTTTGAAAATTTTGTATATTTTAATTCCATTTGACTACTTGAGCAATGAAGCTCACCAAAAAATTTATCAAAAATTCCAAATTATACTGTGGAATCCTACGCATTAATCGTCGTAAAGAGTAGTTCAAGTGGTATCAAATATAATCTGTAAACTAAAATGTCTTGAATTTGAATTTTGACAATCTTTTGAATCAATTGACGAAAAATTTATT